ACTCTTCTGCCCGATGTCTTTTCTCCCCAACCTGGTAGACATGTTGTAGGTGTTTTACCTTCTAGGTCTCTCCTCGGATTTCGTTTTCGTTGACCTTTGAGTGGATTACGTTGATTACCCGAGGTCTTCCTGCCTGCGGCTGCTGTGCTGGGGGAGGTGGGGCTGCTAGTGCCTGAGGCAACCTTGCCCGTTCTTCCCTTGTGTTGGTCTCATCGACAAGGTCTCTCAGATGTCCTTGTCTCACCAGGTCTTCCAAATGTGTTTTCAGGGCTCTACAACCCTGACTTGTATGCCCATCTTCATTATGGTAGGCACAATGCCTGCCAATGTTTCTTCCCATGAACACTCCTGGAGTCTTCTCTGGTGTTCTAAAATAGGGCTGGTTCCGAATTTGATCTAAGACTTTGTAAATTGGGATTCGGAACACAGTTGTTACTGCCTGTGTGGCCCTCAGTTCTGCTTCTTGCTTGCTCGATCCATTGTTACCTCGGCCTCGCTTCGGCGAGCCATTTCCTTTCTCTTGTTTTATCTCCTTAGCCCCCGACGTGTCTTCTTCGGCTCTGGCATACTTCTCGATTCTTGCCATGAGCTCTTTTATACTTTTTGGCAATGTCTTTGCCAAAGACTTTCGTAGTGGACAGTTATCTTTCAAGCCGTTCTTGAAAGATACGACTGCCACCTCTTGATTTCATTCGGGTATTCGATTGAACACGTCATAGTATCTTTTTGCATAGGCCCTAAGGCCTTCATCCTTACTGATCTTCAGAGCCATCAATGCGTCCACCCTTAATGGTTGCAGCTTGTTTGTCACGAACCTGGCCACAAACATCTCGGTCAGGTCTTCCCAAGTCTTCACACTTCCCTTCGGTAATTTGTGGAACCAATCTGATGCAATCTCCCCGAAAGATGAGGGGAACACTTTGCAGAGTAACGGCTCGTTCCCACTATACAATGCCATTGAGTTCAAATATAGTCCAACGTGGAAGTTGGGGTCTGATTTACCATCGTATATTTGAAACCTCGGCATACTGAATCGCTTCGGTGCCTCAAATCTGTCTAATTCCACCGAGAATGGTGTTCTCGGCTTATCTGGGGAGGTTACCTCGGCTTCGACATTCCGTTGCTTCCTCTTGAGGTAATCTCTTAAGTCTTTTTTGCTCCGCCCAGGAGCTCGGCTATCTTTCGACTTCAGTCTTTTCGGTATACTACTTTCGGCCTCGTGGTGAGCCCTTTTCGACCCTTCTCCATGAGTTGTGCCGAAGCACAATGCCTGTCCCTAAACATGCCGATGTCCTTTGGGGTCTGCCTCCTTTGTGCGATGCGTCCTCCGTGATTCTTCTTTTCTTGATTCTCTTCGTCTGACCTCCCTAGAAGGTCGGTGAGAGTATCTCTAGCTCCCGTTGTGCTGAGGGGCTACGGGGATTGTTTTCTGCCCTCCCTTCTGGATATTGGCCGCTGAAATCGGCGTGTCGTGTAGCGGGAACGGTGGCTGCATGACGTTATTTTGCATCATGAAATTGACGACCGACTGTAGGTTTGCCAGTTTGTTTGCCATCTCTTTTACCTCTTCGTCCCTCCGTAAGCACCTATCTTTTCAAACTTGGAGGTCGTCCTCGTTGTAGTATCCACTTTAATCTGGTTTCTTTGGTGCGTCGCCAGTCTGGCCGACGTCTATCACTCCGTGATTCTGGTCACGAGTTTCTGCGTTGCATTCGTCTCCGATGATATCAAGGTCAATAGGTCTCCCACTCCCAACAGGAGTGTCATCTCCAATCTTTTCCTTCTGTCCGTTACTGGCCATCTATTCTACTTTCTTTCTCATAGACGGCGCCAAATTGTGTGAGTGATTTTCCGATCACACTGCCCAACTCAGTATTCAGCTGGAGAACACTGGCAGAATAGATGACACTTGGCTAACCTGAAATAAAAAGAGAAGATTCCGGCGGTGATTCGTCCACCCGGGGGCACTCCGACGATCAAGTCAGTATATCTCTCACAGATAATCAATAGTGCAAACTCACTATTCAAAATATAAATTGCGTACCTTAGACCCACGGAGGTGCCTCTCTTTTATAGCTAGCTCAATCCTTGTCCCAACAGGAGCCTAACTCTAATGGACTTAGGATTGTTATCAATCTTGGACTCTTAGTAGAATTGGGATAAACTCCCTAAGAGTCTTATAATTTCCCAACTGTAGTCTTCCCCTTTTCTAAGATTCTTGTGCCTCATCCCTTATCTCGGATTCCGATATCTTCGGAGGTAACCTCGGCCTAGCCGAGATAACCTCGGCGTCATGTCCAGAACGCGTGGCACCTCGGCTGACATGTCAGTGTCACCTTAGCCACGTGTTGGTACTTAGAAAATATATCCCTACATTTATAATTTACTCTTTATTTTAAAATAAAAATACATTAATAACCGTTGTGATTTTATTATGATATAAAGTGTTAATATTACAATCCAGAGATATGTCACTTTTAACTACAAATACATAATGTTGGGGCAACAGGGATAAAAAATATAAAAAACTCTTGCTTAAAATTTTTCAAGATTCACGATTAACTGATTATTGTTCAGTATTTAACAGAATCTATACCAAACCAACAATACAACCAATTGACAACAAATATGGTCCATTTGAGTGCTATAAGAGTATTTTTAATCCTCATATAACCATTACACTCTCTCCCTACAAATATGTAGTTATACATCCTTATCTTTCTTTTTTCTACAAAGCTAGTTTTCCACTAAAAAAAGACTCATGTCTGAAGATGGTTCGACCAAGCATGAGACTGCCTGGTTTATGCATGAACCATGGAACAGTTAGTGTTAGAGTCCATTCTCCACCTCCAAAATCCGACCAAACCTACAATTCCATCGACACCACACCACCTACAAAGCCGAGTTTTCGAGCAACAGCATTGAAGTGAGCTTCAATGGTGGTGGTGACATGTCCAACCCGGAATCAGAATTTGGAAACAGAAGTGTCATGGTGCACTTCAATGGGCACTCTCTCACAGTGTTCAGTGTCATGACACTCTTGTTCTTGTTCTTGTTCTTGTTCTTCTTCATGTAACCAAACAAGGTCTGTGTGTGTCTTCTTCGTGTAACCAAACAAGGTCTGTGTGTGTCTTTGGGTCTCGTGCGCAAATTCATGTTTTCAAATTCAATTAATTTAGTGATATGATTTTACACTTTATTTTAATCCTTATTTTGATCCATCTATCCATATATTCGATCTTATCCTCTCAATGCTTTTCCAAACCTTCTATTTTAAAATTGAGTTGAAATAAATATGGTACGATCGAATAATTTTGTCATGTAAATGTATGAGAATGAATCTTTTTTTATTGCAGGTGGTCCAAGCGCTAGGGCCGATGAGCTTCTTTGCTCCACGAAAGATACTTGCCAAATGAGAAGACCTGGGGTTAAGAATTAAAATTTGTTTTTAAAGTAAAATTTAAGGGTTAATTATGCTTAATGCCCTACATTTTTATGAAAAGTTCATATTAACCCTTTATTTTTAGTTGTAAACAGTCAATTTCTTATGCTTTAATTCATCTTGCTCTAATGTGGTTGATGGAAATTCCCTTAACAAAACTATTGAGCAGATGAGATTCATTTAAAATGTGAGTTTTATACTATATAAAAGTTGAATTTGGATCACACATTACTTTTCACAACATAATTTTTTTTTTTACTTTCTTACATTTTTTGTTAAATTATAGTCTCAACTCATGGTGTGAATTATCATATGGGGTCTACAAGAATGTCAACCATAGATCAAAATAAAGCAAATCAAATTAAAAGATGATCATATTAAGATTCATTATTTTAAAATGAAGTGTCTATTAAAATGATATGTAGTTATATAAATATCATTGTCACATCCCTCTGGTAAAGAATTCTGTATAAAATTTCTGTAAAAACATTTTATATGGACCCTTCATCAGCTCTGCTATTTGGCTTTTATGTTGCGAATAATTTGATGTTTTGGGTTTGGGTCATTTAGGTACAAGTTGAGATAGCAATGGTGGAGGGAAAAGAAAAAGGTCCAACAAAAGTGGAAGAGGCAAAGAAGCCAAGGGTGTCACTGCTGATTTTAGGGCAAAGAAAGAGATCGCCGCCTAAGGAAGATGTGGATGGGGAAGAGGACCGGCGTCGGTAAGCAGTGGTGGAACACTACATCCAAAATGCTTGTTGCATGATGGTGGTGGTGAGGAGGAGGAAGAGGAGGTATGGTGTTGGGGGCTATTTAATCACCACCAAGCTTTATAAAAATTTCTGTCTTTTGGCTTAATGGAAATGTGGGTAATTCTCGCAATTGTAGGACATGTAGTGGTATGGTGGTGATTGCACTGTGAAAAAGCAAAGGGGATTTTGTGGATTTATTAATGATGATTGTATCCTGTCTTTTTTTGCAAATATTTAGTGATTTGAAATTACCATGTCCTTAATGATTTGAACTAATCACGATTTGAAAGTGACCCCGAGGTCTTACATTTTTTTCTTTTTCGTAAAGAAAGGTCCTGATCAAATATAATTTAAAATTTCTTCAACTACTTGTCCTATATCAATATCACTAGTACTTGATCTTCGACAACAGAACATAGGCTTCGCATGCCTTGGAATGTCATCCATGAAGAATCATCCATCATCTTCTTTATGTTACCTTTAAGATGATTCAAACAGCTTCACAGTGACTCTGTCATACAAGAAAGTCAAATACCATTTATACCACAATTGAAATAATAAAAAAAAGGGGGACAATTTTGGAGAAATGGTGGATCATTTGCACTGTGTTTGTTTAAAAAGAAAAGAAAAAAAGTTTATGAAATTAGGTGAAATGTAAATATATTTCATTCATATTTCATCTGCATTTTCTCTTTTCATTTTCAAATCCCTTCCCACACACAGCGTTGAGGACATCAATCAAGTCTTTTTAAGACATTTTAGCTCTCTGCACAAACACACAGTATGTAAACTCAGTGAGCAGAACATTGCACAACAAACAAATTCTGTGTCCGGATTTGCCTCCTATAAATTTATACAATTGCAAAAAGTCATACAAATTGGAGCATAATGGTTCTATTCTACTTAAAATTTTGTCCAAACTCTAATAAACAAACCAACAAATCCAACCATTGGTGTTGCATATGAGTCAATGTAAATTGATCAACTATACAGACAATAAAGTGGGAGCCTTTGAACCTCTCTCTCCCTCTCTCTCAATATCCACTGGAGGATCCTTCTGGCGACAGTGAGTTGTTCATTCCCTGAAATTTTCTCAATATAGAGAAGACAGTCATGATTGAATTTGAACCATGGCATCTACTCTGCAGTATCCCCAAATTCCCACCAAGCAAAGAAACCAGTATTTTAATCTTCAATTTACAGTACCTTTTGGAGGGTAGAATCAATATCAAGCTATACCTGTATACAATTTGTTGCACTCTGCACACGATCTTCGCTTCAAGCTTACACTAGTATAAACTCTGCAAAATATTTTCACTTCAAGGCTCTCTGAGGCTCAAAACCATGACCACGTTGCCTATATGCAATTCGGTACAGTTGATCATAGCCTGCAAGTACTCCAGCCCCTGCCACACCAACAAGCATGTTTGCAGTAACTCCACGAAACAGTGCACTAAACCCCTCAAGACGAATGATGTCGCGGAGTGCATGCATGCCATTACGGTACTTCAAGGGTTGTCCTGAAGTTAGCATCATTCTTCGTCGGACGGTATCAAAGGGATAGGCACAGACCCCAGAAACTGTAGTCACGCTCCAACCCAACAAGAAGCAAGCAAAGAAATTGTCCTGCAAAATTGAATTTATAGTTAAGGGTATGCCTTGGACTTGTCTTGTAAGAGATCAAAGCAAAGAACATGAAATTGTTTTCTATATAATATGATACATTTCTACCAACAAGCATTAGCTCAATTGATAAAAAGTGCTCCAAATTAGTGGGGTGTGGACTATACCTACATTCTTCAAAATGAAATCTTTTATTATGAGCATAGAACAAGATTTTTTTTTTTTTGGTTGGTATATACCATACACTTCTACCAACAAGCATTAGCACAATTGATAAAGAGTGCTCCAAATTAGTAGACTGTGGACTACCTACATCCTTCAAAATGAAATCTTTTATGTACATAAAATGGAAAAAAAATAAGAGAAAAGAAACAGAAAAAGAAAAAGAAACTGAAAGAAATAAAAGAAAGCACACCACAGACATTAACTTCCTCAAATTGTATTAGCCTTTTCACTTTATTGTCCTAAAAACAGGTCATAAATCCTAAAATCGGATGTTCAAAGTAAATTGACCCAGATATTTTCCCATACTGAACACCCCTTGTTGGGCTCTTGCTGCACTACATGCGCTGGGTATCCTTGAAAAGAACATTTCAGGTCAAAGATGGAAATGTCATCCTCTTAATGAGAAAAAACTAATAGAAAATGAGGCAAAGGTGCTTACCTGTAAAGGCCCCACCAAAACAATAGGCTTCATAGTGTCATAGATCCCAAAGTACATGCCCCTGTAAAGTGTAATTCCCATAATCGATACACTAAATCCACGATAAAGGCCTTTAAATCCATCACTGGACAATGTTTTCTGGTAAACATCTAGTAACCCTTTAAATCGGCGTTGACCATTAAGCGGGCACTCCTTCGCATCAGTACCTAGACGGGTTCGTACATAATCCAAATGATAAAGAAATAATGAAGTGGTTGCTCCGGCAGCACTCCCTGAAGCAACATTTCCAGCAAACCACTTAATGTAACCATCTTTCTCTTTCGAGCGTCCTAAGAGGCTCTTGAAGTAACCTTTAAATGCAAAGTTGAAAGCCTACGGAAAAAACAACGTCCCTTCAGTTATACCATTTGGCAGCATGCCTGCAGAACAAACATTACATAGTACAAACAATTTACTTATGGTCGGATATTTATTTTTTTCTTTTTTCATTTCTCCACCAAGGGAATGAAAAATTTCTTATTCAACGACACAAAATGATAAAAACCACCAAGTCACAATCATCAATATAAACAACCTATAATATAGATAAGGGTAAATTACACTAAGCTCTACTGAGATTTGAAAGAAATACAATAAACCCCAAAAGGTTGACATAATTACATTGACATCTCTTTTAGTAAGGAAAAAGGTGAAAAAGGGAAGAAATGGAGAGAATCAAACAAAAAACGTGGAGCTCACTGAAGTCCTCATTATGTACTTGTATGGTTGTACCTAGGGCAGCATGGTTCTCTGAATCACTAAAAAAGCACCTCACATTTGGTGTGATAGTTGTTGTGGGCTTGAAGAAAAGCATATATCTTCATTTTCCTCCTCTTCATTTATTGTGGGACGTATTCGAACCATGCAAGTCCAAGTTTTTAGCCTTCATAGAGTCTTATTTTGTAATCATCTAGGGTAGAACTGCTCTGGTCAATTTTTTACTTTTGTAATTTCAAAATTTTATTGGACATGATATGTATGTTCTCCATCCCTAGGAGATGGGGGAAGGGAGGCAAGGGATTAAGGGACCTTCTTGCTCTTTTAATTTGGAAACTGAATACTTTAACCAAATGCTATTATCTGTTAGAAGGCCTCCAAGTTCCCACACATTTCCACAAAATATGCATGGCCTGCCCAAAGAATGTGATAAATTCTAAAGTACAAACTAGAATACATGTGATGTGTATATAATATTTGAAGGTCCTACTATAATATTCCGGGTCACATTCCAATAGAGGAGGAAACCACAAGCATACCATTCAACTTCTTTCACGGTTCTTTCATTCCTTTTTAATTGCTTACATTGGCAGATAAAAGCAAATCATTGAAAAGCACAACCCATGTAAACATGATGAATACAAAACAAGGAAACAAAAAAGCTAAGCCTGTAACTTGTAAGATGAAATTAAAGAAAGTGGGAAATGATGACCGATCACCATCGATAAAGAGGAATCCTTTTTGTTGGTTATTGAGCCACAGAAAGTCTTCACATCTAAAAGCATAGACACCATAAGAGGGATAGAAGCAGAGCACACAATTACCAGCAATCAATCAAGAAGCAACAGATGACAGTCTCTGCAGATCTTTTACTCTTGCGCACCAATTAGGAAGAGAAAGCTCCTCTCCACACCATGTTATCACTAAAATTCCTAATTATTTTGAGTCAAATTTTATCAATCAGATGAAAGAATGGGGGAGGGGGATTTATACCGCAAGACAGACTGAAAATTTGTCACCTCCTATGATAAAGGTTTAAAGTCGTTTTATTTATCACAAAAAAAAAAAAAAAAAGGTTTAAAGTTGAAGTCTTTTCTAGCACAACTGTACACCCAAAGAAAGCCTGCCTTATTTCACGTATCTTCTTGTAGCACCCCCCCACCTCCTCCACCATATTAATTTCAAGCTAGTTTACAATCACAGAGACCACAACCCAATGTGTCTCTCATACAAATGTACCATATGCCAAGGCAAAGGATGAGCATTGTCCATCTGGAAGGTTAGAGGTTAATAAATTTACTTCAAACACAAAATCAGCTTTTCCCTTTTAAGGCTTTATCTTGATAATGTATGGTTTCATGGCTTGAAAGCTTCATTTTGATTGTTAATTTCAATAATTAATCAAACCTTTCAGGTGTGACCTAGCCTAGAAATGAATCAGCATCTTCAGGTTCTGCAACTCGAACAGCACTATCCCTTTCATCTGTGCATAGAGTGACTTTGTCTTTTTATAGGTTATTTACATTTTCACTGAAGCAGGGCAAAATAGCTACTTATATTGCAATTTTTATTGCTATTCAGATAGGTATCTGGTTAGGAAAATGTTGTCAAAGTAGTGTGGATTAGCTTCAACACTTGTGCCAGATTAAAAAGAAACTCACTGTCCATCAAAATATCTGTACTCAAAATATAACTAAATCAGAATTCCAAGTAGAATTAACAGCAAACCTAAATTTATGGTATATGGAAGCCACAGAACATCAATCACCATCCTGAGCATATAAAGGATCAATACTTTCCGTATATAAATGTATAAGAATCAATGATGCAAGACAGGTGACCGAAAAGCATTACCTGAGTTGGGAAATATCGTATGACATTAGCCTGGTTACCTCTCCAAAAGGACAATGCACCCTCCTCCTTCAAGACCCTTCCAAAGCAATCACCAACACCCTTATAAGGTTTCTTTAGCATTCCTCTCTTTAACAACTCTCCTTGATTTTGCAGCAAAAGCTTCACTCTCTCAATCGGCGCTGCTGCACTCTTTGATATTACCGCCGCCACCCCTCCCATCACCAAATCTACTGAAAATTTCTCTTGTCGTGTTGTCATCCTCAATCACTCTCTCTCTCTCTCTCTCCCTCTCCGTCTCTTATTCTCTCTCACTCTCTACCCCTGCAGAAGCAACCAGAAGTACATTTACAAAGGTATCCAAAAATGCTATCCATCATGTTCTCGCTCTTACATTTCATTCTTCTCTTTTTTAGCAGCTAACATAACACTAATGTAATCTACCATGCTTGCAGAGGCTAAATTCTAATATAGTTCATTTCCCGGTATAATCCAACAAACCCTAACAACATAACCCTTTCCATCTTCAACACAAATACGAGTAGTGCTGTGTATTCACATTGATTACAATCCAGTCTTTGATCTTATTGTTTAAATTCACAAGAACCCAGATTCATAACAAAACCAAATTGGTAATTTGAGCAGAATATACAAGAACACCATGAAAAAAAAAAATCTTGAACAATTTCTATTTTATTCATCTCCAACTGACCAAATTCAATGGCATTACATAAAGATAGCAAATAAAATAATAATATAAATAAACCCACATAGTATTTTACATCGTTAACACTTGAATCAATAGAATCATGCATGTAACATGTCAAATCATAGACAACAATCCTAAAACTTGAACAAATCGTATATGTAGAGAAAAATACTTGTGCTGTGAGCATGCTTGCCAATGCAAATTTGTACAAATATATTTCGAATCATATCAATTCTAAGATAGGCCTTCTACGCCATTGATGAATGACAAGATTTGAGCTTTTAACCTTAATTTGATTTCCTGAGAAGAACCAGAGGAAGATTAGATACAGAGAGAGTACTGGGTTTTCTTGTACCTTGTTTCACTGTTCCTTCGTGGTTGCTACTTGTTGGAACTTCGACACAGAATTTTGAGAGAGATAGAGAGAGATGGGAGACGCAGGTACCGGAGAGGAGAGAGAAAGAGAGATGCGAGTGGGTGGGAGAGCTCGAGAGGTGGAGAGAGAGAATTTTTGAACAATAAGGAATAACAAAAATATATATATATTTATATATGTGTGCAGTTTTATTTTTCATTATTTATTTACAAATTGAAAAAAATTATAAATTTTATAATTTTAATTAATAATATTTATTATTTTTTGTATTTTTTTTCTACACCAATAAGGTGTAATTTCCCCTAAGTTAATAACCACCACCAACAATACAATAGTAATAGATTTCCCTAATAAATAAGAAAAATGAGCGGGAGTGTTAATTAGTGCTATCATTAATGATGTGACAGTGGACTCCATAATGAATGATTTGATGTTTTGATCTTGATGTTGCATTTTTTTCTTTTTTTATTAAGTGTCATGTCATTAGTGATCTCCAAAATTAGCGATCTCTATCATTATTAAATAAGCCTCCGTTTGGGAAGTGGGTTGACTTTTTAGCTTTTTGACTTTTTTGGTTATTTTAGCCTGGGCTAAAAAGTTTGGTTTGGAAAGGGTTTTTTGACTTTTTGACTTTTTTGACTTTTTTTGTGAGAGAAGAATGTAATGATTATGAATTGGATGTGATATTTTGTTTTTTGTAGCTAAAATAGTCTATATTGTCTTTTGTGACTAAAATAGCCAAAAAAAATCCCGTTTAGCGCTTGCCAAATGGAGCCTAAATAATAGTGGCGGTGAATTGATGATACGTGGATGATGAGTGGGCTAGTTGCTCTTATTTGGTTGATGAATAATAAGGGGTGATGATGAAGAATAATGTTATATTTATCAATTAATATATTAATTAGTGTATTAATATAGTTATGATATTATTATTTTAAAATTTTAATCTTATTCATTATATAAACTATAAAGATCTAAAATTTTTAAAATAGTGTCACTTTATTATTTTAAAAATATAATTTCACTTATTATACAAATTACAAAGACCTAAAACCTCTAAAATTATGTCACATTATCTGTTGATACAATAATTAATATACCAATTGGTACACATAGTGCCACCGAATTTTAAAAAGTAAGAATTACAAATATATATATATATATATATAAATTGAAAAAAAATAAAAAAAAAGTGAGGAATCATTTTTAAATTACTGGGGTAAGAATTAGAATTAAAAAAAATCATAAAAACATAGGAAAATTATTTATAAGTCTTAGTATGGTGACTTATGCTACATATGGTCCTACTAAAAAACTTATGTTCCCATAAGTCTTGTGAGAAGTTTGTTGACACATTTACCCTCAATATTAATTGTTAATATCATAAATACTAGTAAAATCATATATAGGAAATTGAATGTTACCATAGATTATATCTATATAAACGTAACATAACGTGAAACCTACATAAACGTAACATAACGTGAAACCTACATAAACGTAACGTGATACCTGTATGTAACGTGATATCTACATAAACGTAACATGACAGGAAATTGAATGTTATCATAAATCATATCTACATAAACGTAATGTAATGTGACAACTACATAAACGTAACGTGACACCTATGATCTATGGCAACATTCAATTTCTTATATAGAAAATTGAATATTGCCATAGATCATATTTATATGAAACTTAACGTGACACCAACATAAACCAGCAATATTTTCACATTCAATTTAAAAAATAAAAACTCATTAAGTTTGCGAAACGTAACGTGACACATTACGTTATGTTTATGTAGGTGTCACGTTACATTTATGTAGGTGTCACATTACGTATAGGTGTCGCGTTACGTTACGTTTATGTAGGTGTCACGTTACGTTACGTTTATTTAAGTGTCACGTCACGTTACATTTATATAGGATCTTGTGGAATACATTCCTATCTAAATAGGATTTGAGACTCTATAAAAAATTACACCGGACTTAACCTAACATAAGTGTCTGAAAAATGACTTATAAATAAGTCTTCCTAAAAACATTGTAATTTTTAAATTTTAAATTTTTTTTTTTATCTTTCCTTTTTCTCCTATCTTTTCCTTACATCTGCAATCTGGCATTGGCTTTCTCTCAACCACCACCACCACCACTACCACTCTCCTTCTATGCCATACCAACCCCTTTTCGCAATTATAACCACTGCGGTCATGCTCCCCTTTTACTAGTAGCTCTCTCTAACTACCCCATAACAATTGTGATGGCTTTATTATGACCTTCATTACTTGGATTTCTTCCATTGCTATAAGATCGACTATTTATTACTACAATTGTCCGAATATACTCTCGATTTCTCTCTCTCTCATAGTTGATATGGAATTGGAAAAAAGAAACTAAAAAAAAGGAGCTAAAATTTGGAAGAGGAATTGTGAAAAGGGGGTAGGGTTTGAATGATGACTACATACTGAGATGGTAAAGATAAAAAGACGGTTGAAGGAAATGGAGATAGATATTCTTGTCCAAAAGATAACGTAATAAGAGGGTGGTGAATTAGGTTTTTACAAATAAAAATAATAATACCTTAATAAAAAATTATGATTAGCACAATAGATAAATATAGTTAATGAAATAAAAATAATTGAAACAAGTGTTCTAACAATTATGTCAGTTAATGATTTTAGCATAGTGAAAATGTGAAATATAGCTATGGCAATTTAAATAAAATAAAGAGATAAAGGAGAGGCAAATAAATTTATAGTGGTTCGGCTTCAACTCGGCTTACGTCCACTTTTCCACTATACTCTAGCTTCACAGGGTGCTAGCAACCTTTTCACAGATGGAGCAATCCTCCACAGATTTTACACAGACTTTCTAAGTCAAGAATACTGAGTGTACTACACTCTTACAAGGTTGAAAAGAAGGTGTTTTTACTTTCACAGAAAATCATAAGAATTATCTCTCAAAGATAGATATAAAAATGAAACTTTAATTTTTCTGTAACCCTCACACAAGAAAGATGGGCTTAAAACTATACGTCTCAGTGTATAATTTTTGAGAGAGAATGTAAACAAAAATTGAAGAACACTTCTCAGAGAATTTTTCAGAGAATAGATGTGAGTGATTATAGATTAAAGAATATTTTCTGATTTTTTTTGTGTGACTTGTTTATATTAGAGGCTTTGGTATATATAATGAAACTTATAGCCGTTTATAGCCGTTGTACTCCATCATTACTAATTTGAATATCTTCCACTTCATCATTACTAATTTGAATATCTTCCACTTGAATCTTTTGGCCTGCTGCTGTACTGGGCTGTTTGAACCTTTGTTTTGGGCTATTTGAACCTCTAGTTTGGGCATTATTTTTGGGTTGAAATGAACTCCTGATTTAAGCAAATATTAAATACATTCAAACAATATTTAGGATAAAAGTTTAGGTGAGAAATAATAGGACAAAATAAATTTTGGATTCTATTTTTCTCTTTCAAATAAATTAAACACATAATTTAAATAAATCATCAAAATAAATTTTGGATTCTCTTAAAACATAATTAAATAAATCATCAAAAGAAATTTTGGATTCTATTTTTCTTTTTCAAATAAATTAAAATTAAATAAATTATCAAAATAAATTTTGGATTCTATTTTTCTCTTTCAAATAAATTAAAACATAATTAAATAAATTATCAAAATAAATAAGTCTAACAATCTCTCCATTTTTTATGATGGTACACAATGATGGTTTGATTGGATTTGGGAGTAAGAAAAGCTCTCCCTCAAGTCATGCTCCCTGAATTCATTTCTAAATACATAGGTTAGCACATGTGTAATAAATAAGCTTTAATTAGAGATATGATATGAGACTAAGATATCAAACTATAAATACATAACATCATAATAAAATAATACCATAATATAAAATAATACCATAATACATAACATCATATATTTTTCTCCCCCCGTGACATTATCAAAAGGAAATCATGGGTCAGAAACTGGAGGAGGAAGAAGAGGAAAATGATAGGGATAAATGATATCTATACAATTCAAAACATATATATACATATATATATATGTATACAATTCGCACGCCTCTCTCTTTTCCGTCAAAAATCGCGTCGGACACGCTTCCTCGCTTTTGTGTCAGCCGACCGACAAAAACGAGACAGGTCAATCAACAGCCTCGGCTCTCTCTCCCTTTTGTCTTCTTCTCCACCGTCTTTTTCTTAATCACTCTCTTCTCCTTCTGCTCTCTCATTCGCTTTCATCCCTTTCTTCTTCTATGTGAGAGAGATAGAACAGAGAGACTGAACAGAGCAGAAAGGCCGCCAAAAATGACCCTCATTTCGATTACATCTCTCTCTTCTACTTCATGGCCTCGTCCCGTTCCCTTACCCTCTTTCCGGACCTGAATGATCCCGTAAACGTTGCTGGGCCGAGTGCCCCAACTTCTACTCTTCCCAACCTTCATATGATGTCGATTGAGCAAATAATAGTAGCTCAATCAGACATTGAAGCCAATCATTTCACACTGACGTCCTGTACGGAGACAGTGGCTGCAGTCACAAAATTGGCTCACCGACTGTAGAACAGGACGAGTGAGCTCCACCAGGTCAACGCCCAACTCTTATTGGTCCAGCACATGTACAAGGATGCGCGAGCAGAGATTTGCGCACTGAAGGATGAAAATAAAGAGCTTAAACGGAAGACTACCTCCATGGCCCGATTTGGAGCAACGTCGTTCTTGACCTTTGATAGTTAGTAGGGAGTCGTCGCTCTCAACGAAAGCATGGGGGCAGGGCCTTCAAGGGCCTCCCAAGGTGATAAAAAAAGGAAGAAAACAATAAAAAAAAAGGCAAGTAAGTAAGATCGGCGTATGGCCGTAAAAAAAATGAAGGTTTTTTTTTTATGTAAATACGTTTATTATGATCAGCGTATGGCCGTAAAAAAATGAAAGGTGTTTTTTTTTTGTTTTTTTTATATAAATATTTGTATTTTGATTTGTTTTTGTTTTTATATTTAAGTACTGAAAAATGAAATTAAAAAGCAGAAAAAAAAAGAAAATTAAGCCCAAACAAAAAATAATAATGAGAAAAAAAATAATAAAAATAAAAGAAATTAAGCCTAATAAAA